GACACGAGGTGGCGCTGCACCATGCACTTCCCGTGCTGTCGAGCACTGCGGCACCAAGTGGAATCAGACTATACATGGAGCGTTGATTAAGTTAAAGTACCCAGCTAGTAAGTGAGAGTTGCAAATTAAGAAGGCAGCTGAATCGTATATAAGAACCTGCATACGATGGGAAAACAACGTCTCTTCGCATTGCTCGCGTTAGACGCTCGTCTTCTTGAGCTCATCCGTATGATCGGAACCGGTAACTGAAAGCATTGAAGTACGGTTCTTATACAGAATGATGACAGAACCATAGTCAGTGATGTGAAGTAGAAACAAAAGCTGAGGAAACCGATTCACCTTCAGTTCCTATGCTACCATCTTCATCGTCGTTTCTAGTCAAATTGTCGCTAGATCCAGGAATTTGGTATGCTGATCGCAGTCGCATATTTTCGCGATTTCGACGCGCGGCTCCACCTCTGCAACTGGTGTCAATAAAAAAATATCAATGCAACATCTTAGATGAATGCAGTATGTACCGCAAATTGTTATTTTCCCGAGTAAGCGTGTCGTTGGCCTCTGTAAGGTCGTCGATTTCTCTTTGGAGATTTCTAGACTTGGCGCGTTCCCTTGTCATCTCCTCTTCTTGTTCATCCAGCTGGCGGCGCATTTGCTTCGCTCGTAGATTGCATTTCTCAGCCTAAACAATCATATTTACTTCGATACAGAGCAGTACAAAAGGGTACACACTACTCAATCATTTTCGGATACCACCAACTCACAATTTCTTTCTGCTGCTCAACATTTCGCCTCTCATCTTCAAGCTGTAGAATTGTGTCATGAAGACGTTTCTCAATCCGTCTAAACAAAGAATTACCACAACGAAACAAAAAATAAGAGCATCGGTTACGAACCTAAACTGCCTAGTAGCATTATGACGTTCTTGGCTTTCCACGCTATTCTGCTCTTCAAGATACTGTATTTTAGCTTCCAAGGCTGCTATCTGCGCTCGGGCTCTTGACTGGGCTGTGCTCTCAAGTTCGGCTATCTGAAAAACATCAAGTGTTAAGCACGTAATGAATTGTGAAACAAAAACAGTGACAAATTATTTCAGGAATGATATTATGCTGTGTAAGCACCTTTGCTTTGAGCTCACGATTTTGACGCTCCAACCCTTGACGTTCAGCCTCAGACTTTTGTGCAACTGAGCGCTCCATTGACAACTCGGTCGTAAGCTGTTCCAGCTGAAGATAAAACCATCTTCCCTCAATCTTTCAGGTTCAACGAAATCAGCGAACCTGTTGTTGAGCCTTCCGCTGCTTGTCAATGGCAATTTCAGCATTATTCTGCTCTTCCTCAAGTTCTTCCTCCAGTTG